GCATTCTCTGGTTTAAAAAAAGGGTTGCATCTGGAATCTTCTGCGTTTGCGTCTTCAATATAATACGGGCAAGAGCGTACTAATTATCAGGCCACAACCACATCGATTATTAATTGTCGATCAATGATTGAACAACGTTTTATCGACCAGTATCCATTGATCAGCTAAAGCTACCACACCAATCAATCGACATTGATCAACGTTGATCAATGGCGTCGATCGATCGATCGATTGGTGTGGTAACGCCCTAAAACTCATGGCAAGCGAGCTCATTGCGTTCCTGCAATACCACTTCGACGTCATAGACAAAATAAGTGTGATCCAGATCTGTACATCCAACTACAGTGAAGACGGGACATACAGAGATCAACACAGCAGCAAGGCTAGCGTGGACAAGAGACAATTTTATCGCCGGGGAAAGGATAAAATGTTTATTCCCTCGCTTAGTTTTATCCACCCTTCGAGCATGGGCATAGCGGTGGATATAATATCTTGACTTAGACTTAGATAGAGTTTTTGTATGAAAATAAACTTAAACCCACGTCCAATGAACTAGGATAAAATTGTCCCCTTGGAATGTCAAAAAAGCATATATTTTTATCTTTCACTTGGCTCCATTCTACGGACGGGGATGTATGTCAACTCGTTATGTCAAACGGGGATATACTTCTCCCCGTTGCCGTGCTTTCGCAAAATGACAAGATAATTTTATCTCTTGTCAGTGGATATAATCGTGGGATGATTTTTTTGTCAACCACCCATGCTAGCCATGCTGTTTGTTTGGTATGGTCGTGGTCGTCTTCGTTGGATATGATCGATAGGATGCCGTCCCGAAGGTGGAATGAAATGGGAGAAAAGAGCCTTCAAAACATAACATGTAAAAGTGTTAAAGGAGACTGACCCCTATGACGTGCCTACTTAAGTAGCAAGGGACTTGATTATAGGGAAAGCGCAAGCCCCTGCTTCGTTTGATCACGATGACTTCACCAGGCTATTGAAAGACATCACAAGCTTTAAAGCTAGTCTGGCTGAGTAGCAGTTGAAGTTAGAATCGTCTCAGTCTACCATCAGCAATCAGCGTACCGAAGTAGTGGATATACGCAACACTATAGTAGAATGTAGGTCACACGAGCTTCCTCTCTCAGTAGAACAGAACTTTATATGTGGTAGAGCCACAATGCAGCTATATTATGGTTGTGACACGAATAGGTCCGCTCGACCGAGGAAGGACCACGCTCTCACACAATACCAGCGTAAAATAGCAGCAAGTTTGCTGTATTGCGTATGGTGCGTGTTGAGAACCGGAGACCCGTTATACTTGAAACAGGGTATTCCATCTTAGTCCTAAGGGGTGAAAATGCATCTGCATTTGGATTCTTAATCGAGGATAGATGTAAATTCATGGTGCCCCACAGTATCTATTTACCATCAAGTGGTACTGAGTACTCGCGTGTCATCTTTCTTCTAAAAAAATATATCATAAACTATTCATTCAGCAAGTTAGGATAGCTTAAAATGATTAGCAGTTGAACTGGGTTTTCATGCAATTCATTTAAAATTTTCAAAACAGCACACAAAAAAAGGTAACGTTTTTAAATATAGAAACCATAAGCATAATAGTCACTTTAGCATAAAAAAGAGTCAACCACGGAATGAGATATAATAAGCTGAATTTTCGTATGTACCAGCTGATGGTACGTGGTTGCTGTGACCCATAGACATCTACATCTATCCTCAATAAACAATCAAAATGCAGATGCGTTGTCACCCTTGGGGACTAAGATGGAAAGCCTCTTTTCCAGTAAAAAGGGTCTCCGGTTCTCTACACTCACCATGCGAAACAGCAGTGTTAAGCTGCTATTTTTCGCCAGTATTCTGTGAGAGCGTGGTCCTTCCCCGGTCGAGCCGACCCATTCATGCTAGGTACAACTATACTAGTTATATCGCTGCAGCATGGCGTATGGTGAGCGCAGAGAACCGGTTACGTCTTTTAATAGAAACAAGGCATTCCATCTTAGTCATCAGGGGTGACAACGCATGTGCATTTTGATTCTTAATGAAGGAGAAATGTAGATAGATATCTATATCTAATTTTTGGCCCGATCTACGCAGAACGAGCTTACAGTATCTTGAAGTCTTACAATGTTATGCTTGGGTTTGGATTTAATTTGATTAATTATAGGATCCCAAATACATGATAGCACCCAGCCTTCTTCTCTATTGAAACCGTAATGATTTTAATTTCAATAGCATCACGAATCATCCTTGGTAAGAAATGGTGTTGCAACACGAAATTAATATTCAAAAGCGGGGCCAACTATGACATCGGGACCTCAAACACCTCAGTCCCCCCCGTGACCATGGGTGCTGTAAATTACCCAAAATGTCGGGAAATAAAAGTTAAAATTAAACCTGATAAAATCCGTAAAATTATATTAATATATTAATTACTATAATTATATATTGACATATGGACGATAATTGCCTGAAGCAAATAAATAGACTTAAAAAAAAAATTAAAGTAAATCAAAGCCTTAGGTTGAAATCTCAGTTGGTGTCGACTTGTACCTACGGTCCTACACATTTAATAGCTTACAATAATATACATAAGTTGTGACCATTTCTTGGATGCTATTAGTCACTCGAACGTCATCGGTAATCATATTAGTAATCACAATCACTTATTTTCTTTTGATATGTGAAAATTATCACTGCCCCATATTATTCCGTAGGTTTCGTAAGAAGTGATGGAGGGAACAAACCAGGAAATGGGCAGCAGCATCTTCCTAATAACATGTCGACATGCAGACAGGCGTGGCAACAATGGCAAGTATACCTCTTCTAGCAGACAATCTATGATGGAGCCCTATGTTCAACAGTTGCATTTGAAAGGCTATTAAAGAAATAGAAATGGCCAATTCTAAACTCAAAAAATGAAAAAGGGAATGGAAATCAAAGAGAATATGTAAAACCATAGATATAATTTATTTCTATTTACAATTACAACTAATGCAGTCCACAGTAACTATGAAATAAAATTTGTTAATTTAAACATTAAAAGTCTAATTAGTACTGGAAGAAATAGTGACTGAAGCTACGAAAGCTACGAGACAAAAATAATGTAAAATTTATCTATCACCTAATTAATTACAACACATAAATATGACTTCCAAATTATTATAATAATTAATAACTATTTTTGACAATATTCACAAGTGAATAGTATAATTTCATTTAAAAATTTCAGTTAATAATAAAAATTATTAGTTATAAACATTAAAAAAAATATACATAAAATATTTTACACACGTAGATAAGCTAAGTCGCTTATAAAAGCCTCCAAGGCATTTAACTACGAGTAAATGCAGCACAAATTATTTATTTATTTATTTATTTAAGCTTTATTTGCACACATACAAGAAATGTACAAAACGGCGGACTTAATGCCTAAAGGCATTCTCTACCAGTCTACCTTTGGTTTGTGCAGAGAATCTAGTGATGGGTGCAAAACTCATAATTAAAAAAAAAATTAAAAAATTATCGCTCCCATTGTGATTTTGAAATGTCAAAATTGGCGCGAAATTGACCACATCGCATCTAACAACAAAGCCGTTTCTTTTGATGAGATCTTACCGATAGCAATATTGCTTACAATCCCATGATTTGTAGACATTATTTAGCTTGGCATGCGCCACTTTTTCATTATTTATAACAATATCTTTGACAAGACGGTGGCTTTTTCTTAAACCTGCGATTACAGGTATCTATTGAAAAATATCATTACCTAGGGAAGGCTATAAATATCCACAGAAAAATATATTAATAAATGTCGAACGATACCTGATAACGCGACTTTGATGTGGCGAAATGGTCACATCGTATCCCAGTTAAATGTCGCGTCTATTAATAAATAGGCCCTATTGCGCTCATCATTGACTTATTATGCCTAGCCTTATGTACACTGCCTCGCTATCATATCGAACAATCTAAAAACGGACAAATGGGCATGGACATTTTATTAGGTAGGATTTTTGTAATTCACATTCACACTACGTTTTAAATTACACTTCGCTCATTTCCCATTTCGCAAAACAAATCTATACAATACCACTGAAATATTATTTACAATAACTTAATTAAATATCAATAATTGGTTACTTTATCGCATCATTTTGGAAAGGAGGCAAGGTAAGTGCTTTCATTTAAATATTCTTAGATTTATCGAGTTTAAAAAATGTGCTCGAAAATTAAGTAATTCAAAAACATTATAAATTATTTTATGTGAAACAAAAACAGAAACAATAAACCAAAAAGAAAAAAGAAAAGAAAATTCATAAGCTGTTCCATTTGCTTTAAATACCATTTCATTTAAAACAATGAAAATCAGATTTTATTGCGTTATACTTAAAGGTGAGCATTCTAAATTAATTCCTTTGTGTGTTTATATTGTAATAAACAATATTATATTTTTCTCACTAAACGACAATGAAATAAATATATATATATAAACTTAATTTTATTTACAAAGGAACATGTTTTAAAGAGGTGGCAAGAAAAGATAGCCTTGTATAAGGCGCGGTATACATATGTATGTGTACCACATATCTCACTTGATCTACGTTATTGACTACAGATTGTCTACTAGATATAATTATGTTATATACTAAGTTATATAAAACGCAACTACTTCCATAAAAGTATTAAGAGATTAATTTATTATATCGTACTGAAATTTTTCTAAGAACAATGTGACTTTATATATCTACCAATGTGTGCAAACTTTTGATAGTGTTTTATTTACACTTCAATAGAATAACGTAAATTAAAATATTGCCCAACATCATTTACATTTTTTATATATATCTAATGCAATTAAAAAGTACAAACACAGTCCGGTATTTGTTTTGATTTTAACTTAGATACTGGTTTTGTTAATCTCAGACTATTTTAACGCATAGTTTTAAATAATTTAATCTCTCCAAGTTTTTATAATCTGTTATTTAGGTGACATTAATTTCTTCTTCGCCTTCATCGCTTTCTGTGGCGGTGCTGTGGTTGTAGAGTCCTTGTGCCATGAGCTGTAGGGCGAGTGGGTTACGCTGCCCGGAAGCCTTCTTAATCTTGGCGCGTTTGTTCTGGAACCAGATCTTGATCTGTGCCTCCGCTAAGCCCAGCTCCGCCGCCAGTGCTTGTCGCCGCCTCTCCGTCAAGTAACGGTTTTCCGCGAACTCGTGCTGTGGACAAATCATCCTTTAGTCTATGACGTTCATCATGAATGATCCCGTATTGTGTATTGAAAAAAAAACTTGATGGATAAACATCCAGACCTAGATCCACACAATTACGTGTTCCGTGTCGAATGGAACCCATGGCTCCGTAGCCCACTACAGAGTCAATAATTTGTGAGGATTTATGTAATCGTCACGTTTTGCATTCAATAATTTAAAAAAAATGACTAATGATGGGGAACACTGTGAAATTTATTTGCATATTTATACTCCGGACAGAAACTGATCGACAACCGATCAGATTCCTATCAGATCTTGATTTCTAGACTTGATGTACCTAATATGTTATTCCCTATTTAAAAGTATAGAGTTATTATCTATGCGGTCTACTTTGTTTGTCATCTTGATCGAAACCAGGCAAGATAACACGACGATCATTAGGGGCTGAACACGAGTTGTTGGTGCAATATGTAAGACTATTCTCATCTAAATAAATGTGTCGCCCTAAATGTGTCAACCGATGAAGAAGTTTATGTGTTAAACTAACACATAACTTGTTTATCGGTTGCCGACTCATACTCTATTTTGTACCCTGGTAAATCTACATCGCGAAATCGCAGAACACGTTAGGTTATGGCCACCTACTAAAAACGTTCCGAGCTAATTGAACGTACAATGACTTCGGTATGGGGTGGTTCCGCACCCGAACGGCAACCAACGACATCCTATTACTAAGCCTCTGCTGACCGTCCGTCCATCGGTCCATCCGTCCGTCCGTTCGTCTCTCTGTCATCGCACTGTATCTCATGATCCGTAATAGGTAACCAGTTAAAATTTTCACAGAAGGTGAAAGAAAAAAAATCAATTAAAAATTAAAGACGGCTCCCCTACTAGAAGCGGGTTTTTTTCGCATACATAGTATTAAATCTTGTACGGAACTCTTCATGTGCGAGTCCGACTCGCACTTGGCCGGTTTTTCGATATTCTCTTGTGAGCGTATTTCTGTTTTGTTTTTAAATTAGTGACCACCATTGCCCTCCGTAATTGGCCCCTTCTCCCCTAAGTATAAAGTATTTAACTTACTATTATTTTAGGCAATAATAATTGTATTGCATGTCTTGCAGCATAACAAAAATGTTAAACTGTAATAATATTTAGATCTAGCTCATCGCATCGACTAACCCAAAACTTCGTCGCCATTCAAATATGACATTCACAGAGTTGAAGTTGGACTCGATTATTATTGTATTTACATATTACAAAGAAACAAGACGGTAACTGACTACATAACTTCACTTTTAACTTTCAATTATGATAATTTATGTTTGATTTATTGGGAAATTAATGAAGTAGTAAATTACAGTATGAATCATAAAAAAAAAAAACATTGAGTGTTTCTTGTAAATACCTTAAGTCTCGCTAGCTGCGCGGTGCTGAACGCCGTTCTTGGTCTTTTCTCTTCTGGATTCATCTTCTTTTTTACTCTTCTGCTTCTAGGACCTTTGAACAAAACGATAACTTTTATTACTTAAGTTTTAAACTATTTTACCACTGTCTAACACCTTAATATTTTACAGTAACATAGTATAAATTGTAAATATATGAAAATTTTAGCAACACTTCTGGAAATTAAGTAATTTTTTATCACAGTTATTAACAAGTGGGATGCGGAAAATAAAGACTGTGTAAGAACCTCCGGGTGCGGCGGAGTTATAGCCGAAATAGGGATTTTTAATTTTTTGGTTTTTGGCCATTTTGACCCCCTAGGATTGTAATGAGAACTTTTTGCCCCTCTTCAACCATGGCCCCCTTGACATCCTCTACAGGATATTCAAACTGACTAGGCCTAAAGTTCGTGTCACCCCCCAACTCATTTCTAGTCGTTACTTCCAACTACAGTACATGTTAGTACAGCCCCGCACGATATAACTATGGAATGAAAAATAATATCAGGAGATAAGAAGCGTAGATCCAGTATCTATCCATTACATCAATTACTGCCTATAAAAGTCCACACCTGACCCTAGATCTCCCCCCACAGATTGCCTCATAGCTGTCATAGTTGCCACGGTTGGTAGGTGGTTCCAGCTGTAGTTTAATTATTATTTTAAGTCGTTATCAGAAAGATGCTTCTGTACATCTCCTGTTTCGGTTTCCATCTGTCGCCTAAGTATATAAAGTGCTAATTAAAATATAATTTTTTTTAAATCTTAATTTTTTTAAAAGTTATTATATTGCAAAAGAGTAAGTTTCAAGTTATTTTAAAATTTAATATAATATGCAAGATAATAACCTAGTAAAATATTTATTGCGCTCAATAACTATATTAAAAAAAACCTAACAACATTAAATTCAGTCAACATTAAGCATCGCAGAAGCTTATTAAATTACATTCCCAGTAATAAAATTAAAACAAAACTACATAAAAATTCACACCACGGCAACTATTGGGGGGAGCTACGCCCACAAACCTAATTAAACTCGTCGGCCGCCATAATAGAGCAATATTTTCCATCGGCCATGTCGCATGGACGCCATGCTTTCGTGACCGAGCGTACTACGTTTTTAGTGACGTAATAAACCGGTACATGATCGACCGCATGGAAGTTAATATTTAATTATTTAAAATAATTAAGTTATAAAACTGAGACATAATCAAAAACTAAATGTTTAGTGTAGACATAAATCCTGTCTAACCACCTGACTGAACGTTGTATAAGCTTAATTTTTTTAATATTGCAAAGTTAAAGTAATATTATAAATATAGATGGAGTGACGATCAGACAATTTATTTTACAGGATAGGATGATAAACGAGCACACAGTCCACCTGATGGTAAGTGGTTGCTGTGACCCATAGACATCTATCCTCAATAAAGAATTAAAATGCAGATGCGTTGTCACCCGTGAGGACTAAGATGGAATGCCTCTTTTCCAGTAAAAAGGATCTTCGGTTCTCTACACTCACCATACGAAACACAGCAGTGTTAAGCTGCTATTTTACGCTGGTATTCTGACCTATTCGTGCTACAACTATACTACTAATATAGCTGCAGCATGGCTCTACCACGTATGAATTTGCTACTTCAAACTTCTAAACTCAAAACTGACGAATTGTTGATTTTGTATTTCAGATTTAAGATGTCCTTCTGATGCCCATGCCTTCAATATTTATTGGATTTTTATTATAATCCCCTCTTATCATGCCTTCAATATTTATTGGATTTGTATTATAATATTATACATGGTTATTTTTCAAAGAGTAGTCAAATTTTAAACTTAATTTCAAATATATAAACCATGACATACCGCTATTGCAGTTTTTGAAAACACGAGTAAATAATGGTTCTACTTTTATTTGAAATTATCGAAAATTGAATGTGATTTATTGGCAACAACGTTTTTGCCTACCGATCCACAATTACGAATGTGTGCGTGCGCAGTGAAATCAGTTAAAATAATGCATTTTGAATTTAAATGATTAAAAGAACGGAATGTTTGAGATTTTTTTAATTAATTCTTCTTCGCCATTTGCCTATATTGCTTATTCTGAATCTCCTCTGCTAATTTGGCCGGTTATTGCAAAATAACCCACTATGTGTTCAATAAATATAGTATTGGATAATAACCATAATTTTCTGTTAACCTTTATCGCCCTTTTATTTAATTATTTTTTACCATCTTTTGTTTTCCCTTAATCCACTAAATCTCTTAATATTACATTCTCATATTATTAAGGTAATCTTTCATTGATTTGCAATAAAGCAGTTTCAAGCAGTAGCAGCAGTGTTCTGACATTGTTCGTCATTTGTTGTATGCTGAAATATACGAGTATCATTTGATTAGTAAAATATCTTAAAATCATTAAAAAAAATATTTAAACATTTAATTTTTATGGCAATACCTACTGAGGCAGATTTTGATCTAACCATGATCTAACCATATTGTTTTCAATTAAGCGTCAGTGCCTGAATACTCCAGATTTAATTCTACAAATATAAACCATTTTAAATCACCGACAATCAGTTTATAAGGATCTAGACAGTTTAGCGTGCGACTGTACTCTGCCATAAATCTACACTACGCTAAATGCTATCAGCGATGGAAAATAGCAACTATAAACACTTCTGTGGCTTCCTGTACTACTGAATTTATTCGCCAATTCCTTTTTTACAAAGGATTTCACACCTTAACGTAGTTACATAAAGCGGAGATCGAATAAGTAGCTCATACGTTACTTAGACCTCTTAAATTGGAACATTTTTTAAAAATTGCTCTCAACTATTTTAGATCCTACGTAATACGTTTTACGGAAAGAAATCGCTTGTGTGTCATTAAATTGCAACCATTTCGTTCATAATGAACATTGAGTTTTATCGCTTTAAGAATAGAACAGGAAATGGTGTAAACACAAATCTTTTAGAGTTTGAAAAATGTTTGGCTATTTGATTGTTTATTGCAAAAGAAAATAAACTCTGACTGATGTGCGCAGGGTTTCTTTTCGTTTAACCACAAACATATCGCTTCAAACGCTCGTTTATCACCCGATAAAACGGGCAGTAAGTTTTTTATTCGTGTTTTTAATTAAACAAAGTCCCTCCAAACGTTTGCCAGAGAATTTTACGTAACGAGTCGTAATGTGTTAGCCTGGCGCTGGAAAATATCGTTTTCCAAGCGTTCTTTGGGTAAATTCTTTAATGTGTTCTGAATTTTAATTAATGAGAAATAGCGACGACAAGTATGCACTCAAGTGACCTAAACGAATGACCGCTAGGGAAAGATTAATTTTCGCTAAGCCAACATTCTTTTAATATATATATATAGTAGTAAATGTGTGACCTGATTTATAGGTTTGTTAATCTAACATGGTAAAGAGTACGAAAATAATATAAGAAAAAACCTTCTGGTGAAAGATCTTAAAACCAAAAATATAGTCGGGATCTTTCTGAAAGTCTTAAATTGCATAATTTTAATAATTGCTCCTTACCAACAGTTACCTGTAAAAATTATATTTTCAAACGTATTTAAATTTAAGTATAAAGAACAAATATAACGATTTAAAAATTATCAAGAAAGCAGAAATAAAGGAAACATAATATATGTTTTAATTCCAAGTAAAATACTAAAAGAGCTTAGTCAGCAGAAACATCAATCAATTTATAAAAATTTTAAGCTAACACATAATTATTTACCTACTAGTTATGAAATACTAGTTTGCTCTATAAAGTTTAAAAATAAATAGATTTATTTGTTACACAAAGCGTACTAAACAGAGACGTGAGGTACAAGGAGGACATAATTCGCAGCAAACAGCCCAACTTTGAGCTATTAACATTCCAGCCCAACCCTGGTGGACGTTATCCGGACAAATGAGGATGATAATTTATTCATAGCGGGCGTTGGGACATATTCATTACTTTTGTAATTGGCAGCGTTAAACGTAATGGGAGGTCGTGAGGCCAACAACAAAGTGTGCTAACTGCCACAACAACAATTATTGGTTTGCGGGTAAAAATAGTTTTAATCCCTGTACTTCATTCCAAAGGAACGTCTGATGTTTTGAAACGAAAATTTAAATTATATTATATTTTTATAACATTTGTGACCGTTTGCATAAACATAATATTATTTGTATCTGACTTGCGATATAGTTACTTAAAAAATCTAAAAATGTATCGAAATCATATATATGACTTCAACTTAAGTTTATATTAATGTTCACATACTACTATTTTATTATATTATTGGTGAGTAAAAACGCAATGTACCCATTGCGTTTTAAGTGGAAAATAAGTTAGATTTCAGAACTACATCAACGGCTGCATGAAGGTGGAATATTTACCTGCTAATTAATATATTACGTGCTAACGAAGTTGCGAAGAAAGCCTACAAAGTGCTAATTTACTGCCTTGCTTCTTATATTCAATTACCGCCATGCTGTGCTGTATTTGTAATTGTACATTTACTCCCATTAAAAGACATGGTTAACACATCTGATGGGCATTAATTGATTTAGTATCTACATCCTTAATTATTTTTTTGGCGTGGAAATTTTGACAAATATTGATATTTTTGAATAATCAGTACGCTGTTATAATCATACTCTATAAGTTATTTTTTTAAATATGAATACCAATTTTTTAAGAATTATTTCTTTCATTTGACATAATAATTATAGTACGACGCACAATACACGCAAAGCTCTAAATGAAATTGTTGAATCGCGTGCCGCTTCATGTGTTACTTCTAATAGATTTTTATCTGAAAATATTTAATAAAAGAAGCAATATTTCAAACATATACAGCGTTTAATTAAAAGAAAAGAAACAAACTAAAACTAAGGTGTATTTGACCGTGTTAACCTGTACATAGGGTATATATTGTTAGGCACACGTTCATAATACATTTCTTTTCTAATAATTTACATATAATTCCCTAAAAATGTCTTAAATTACCTCGTAGAAGTAAATGTGTGAAAAAACATGTTCAAGTACAATATTA